AAGGATTTAACCTATCCCCAAATTTTTCCTTTTTTAATAAATAAATGACCTGTTTTCTTAATTTGATCTACATTTTCTACATCCTTTTTAACTGGTAAAATAAGATAAAAAAGTTGGAGATGAATAGAAAAAAGTTCGAAACACATTGGAAAAAGTTTGTCAATTTGTCGCTAATGAAAAGTTAATGAAATAAAAAGTTTTACAATTTCAATGAGCAAACTTTTTTTTTAAAACAGTAACATTTGTACAAAAATGTTGACGAGCAATTGTCACTTTTAACGCAGAATCCTAACGAAAATGTCATTCAATAGAAAGTTTCCCTACGCACCCTTCCACTTAGCGAAGAGCCTTCGAAGTTATAAGTCGGTACTGTTGGCAGCTACGGAGAATTTGAAACTTTTTCAGGAAAATTAACTCCCATTTAAGGCAAATATAAATTAGATTCCAGAGAAAACATTTTCCGCTTTCTCTTATCGCAAAATCGATATTAGATTTTCTAATCAAAAGGTTTTGCTGTATTTTGTAGCTCAGATAGGAATTAAATCGGAGCAGTGACCGGCATTATGAACTTCATTTGAGTTTAATATATTCAGATATTTTGACAAACGCACCTTGTTTCTTCTTCCTATAAACGTAATAACTTTAAAAAAACAGCTTTAAATAATACACCAAACTAACCTTTCAGCTTATTTAGTTTCGAACACTATTACTTTCGAACACTCCCTGCATACAAAGTCTGAACTATCTTTCTAAAAAGACAATTAGTCACATTATTTATAAGCATTACTGTATTTTTTCAATATGTAGAAAGCATCAGATCTCTAGGTGACATTTTACCACACTAAATTCACCTTTTGCATGTAACTTATAAAAATGTATCACCAAGCGATACAAGAACAATAAATAGTTGAAAACAACTTCCAGTAATCAAGGTATATAGCTTTGACAAGAAGTTAAGAAAGGTCGTGGTGGCGAAGATAAATTTTCTTTTTATTTTGATGAAAGGGTGACAATTGACACACATAGTGACTCTCTTTCTTTACAATAAATCCATAATTGGTGTTTTATTAATAGAAAAAATCTTTATAATCCTTACAGTTTATCACAAAAATAAATTTCAGATATTTTATTATCTGACGCAAACAAACCAATTCAATTCTAGTACAGATATAATCATGAACAAGATCAAAAGCGAAACTAGGAGTGGAATGGCGTTGTTATACTGATATGACAAAAACAGCTGTTTCAGTCCAGCGGTAGTTCTCCATTTAAAATTCCGCTCACTTTAAAACTGCCACGATACCATATTAGAATGCTTGACCCCCTTCTCAATCCAACTATGATATAAGTGATAAATTTGTCTTAGTATTAAGAGAATTAATAATAATAGGATAAACTATTGGAATCTTTAAGGAATCTTCAAGTACATATGTTTGCATATTTTAGTTAGCGATTTATGGTTACCATCTGTGATAGTAACTAATAAGTTTTAACCTTATTAAGAAGAGATTATTAATAATATATGCATAAATCATATTATATTACAACCGTCGAACTTAATTTACTTAATTTATCATGGGATCTTTTTTCCTTTTTTTGGTTGTACCCCTTTAATCCAGTACATAAAACCGCATGGAAAATCTTTTGAGCTTTTATTTTTCTTTCACAGAGCGCGATGGCGTGAGAATCGTACAATTTTCAACACTCCTAACCCGAGGTTGATGAACGTTTCTCTCCTCCGTGATAGTAAACTTTTGCATGGACAAGAACGTCGTGGCTCCAGAATGTCAGTGCGTGCACCTTCACGCCAACCGAGCATGGCTTCGCTGCGTCCCCATTCGCCTAATCCGTCGCTAGGTAAGACAGGTTTGTATTCCATCGACTAAATGCACTAATTCTACAAATTTTCTGTCTTTTTCCTTAAGAGTTCTGTTTTTATTAATAATTTTGATTACTTTAAAAAATTTCAAAATTTATAAAAATTTTAATTATTTTATATTAAATTGAAATTTTAATTTATTTGCGTTTGTTTTTGTAAATAAATAAAAATGAATAGATAAAAGTTTTAAATAGTTTCATATTATATAAAATAAAAACCAAACCTGATGCAGGTTATTCATGTTCAAACTTGGTGTACAACAAAGGTCTGTTGTAGTATGAGAGTCTTCGCCCGACAAATATCAAAATATTTTGATTTTCGTCCAACCGGATGAGCTCGCACTACATCAATACAGAAATTCTAAATCATTTTACAGCAGTTTGCATTGTGTATACCTTCGATAATACACTCACAATCATCAGAAGATAAATAAAATTTTATTAAAAAAATATAAGCAATCTAGCAAAAATGATAAAATTATAAAATAAAGGTAGGGTGCGAAGTACCTATCATAGCTTAATGGCGCCGTAAAACTCCTGAGCCATAAAGACAACTGAGGCAATATGTAAAAAAAATCTGCGGTGCTGGAATTTGGATCTGCTACTTATGTTAATGCGCATAGATGCTTCCGATTACGACGTGTTGAAAGCATTAACTTTTTGTTCTACGTTCTCTCAATTGCTTATAAAATGTTTTATTTGATGTTTTGAATTTACGGAATCGCAATGATATAAAATGACACTGCTTCCACATTAATGCACATTTAACTATTAAAATACTAATGTAATCACAAAACTATTTCACTTGATGCTGATTAAAAATATTTTTGGGATAATATTTTATAGAACTTCGTTTTGAAGTCGAACATATATGAATAGATAGGATGTTGAATAAGAAAATTAAAATTTTATATCTCATTATGTAAAAACTTATTCAATTAAAATATAGATTTTAAAATATTCCTAAAATAAAATGTTTAGTCATATTCTCTGTGATTGCTTGATTAGCTTTGATCTACGCCAGTAGTAGAATGATGGCACCAAAGTTCCTCTCCCAAGTAAGATTAAGAACTCCCCAACTATATACATTATGTCCTTTATTCGAACGACTAAATACCTTCTATTCTGTTAGGATTAGTTGTAGCACAAAAAAACTACTTTAGTTGCAGTTTCCGTTACTTCGGGAACGGAATAATTAGACAACAACGTCTGTCACTAGTATATGTGGTCCCGATAATTCGCAATCACAAGAGAACAGCATTTTTTACGAATTAGAGGGGTTTTTGAATTATAGAGGTTTTAATTTAACGAGGTTTAAAAAGAAAAAAATGCCCTGAAGCAGTCTTGAATGCAAGATTTGCTGACACTATTCCACGCTTTATAACCAATCTCTCCTTGCGGTGAGATAATTTAAAATTTTTCATAACACCCTGGTCAAGGGGATGCAGTTTAGAAGTGGCGTTTACTGGCAAAAAATTTTTTTTACGTGACTGAGATTCGGGAACCCATTATGCACTATACAATTGTCCATACATAACAGTAAATTTCGATATTTAGTTATCATTTAGCATCTGAAGTCATTCGTTAAATAGATCCATTGTCATCCACGCTTTCTTATTGTGTGGGTAAAGCATTGGAGAAGAAACCAAAGAAAACACAGAGAGTTGTACCAAGAAAGAATAAAAAAAAAAATTCACTAGAATACATTTTTTTTAATAAACGACCAGATTAAAATATCCAAAAACGCGAAGAGTTTAATGAAAATCAATAATAATTATATATAATAATCAACGTAATAAATATTTATCTACTGTAAATAATGGTATATACTCGTATATATAAATATATATATATATATAAATATGCAATATAGTTATAATTATAGCTTTAGTTATTTTTATAATTTATTTAAAAACGTTATTGAAATATATAATAAAAATAAAATATCAACTTAAAACGATATCTACAGGTACATTTTTTCTTTTAACCAATCTTATACCGACATAAAGTTAACCACACAATTAAAATTTTCTCTATTACCGAATTAATGTACAGGACGAATGCCACGTTCGAAGAGCAATACACGTTCCAGTGACTCACGCGTTAGCGATGTCTCAAATTGCTCTAGATTGCTCGAGCATCCACATAACACTAATGCCTCAGCAAACGCATCTGCAACTGCATCTGCCTCCACCACAGCCACTGCACACTCGCAACATGCGCCGAACGCAACACACATATCACTGACAGCAGCAACAAATGATGCTATCACTACTACATACGTATCCGCGCCCGGTGCTGGAACTGCCTGTGGCATGTCCATGAACACTTCACCATCGGTTGCCATCAGAACGAATAAATTTTAAACGGAACTTGCGTTGCTGTGCCGATTTGATCAATTATTTTTAATTTGGCCACAAGCAAGACTATATCAGCACCACCGACACCAACATCCACACCGAGACATACACCGATATAGAAATCAATACCGTTAACGGTAGCGATACCGATTACGTCATACCGTCATATACGGACAATACCATTATTGAACAGATATTGTTGCACTACTTCTGAAATCGAAACTGAGGTACAGCAATATTTTTTGAGGACGTTAGATTTGCCTTACATTCAAAACCAAACGTAGAATTGATTCATATCTGGAAAGTGGTGTACAACTATAACTCTTATTTTTGTTGTAGCTCTTATATGACAATGTAGAAATCTATAAATGTCCCGTTCGTTTTTTTTTCTTTACAGTAGTCATTACACGAGTGCTCTATACTATCCTTCTAAATGTCTTCCAATACAAAATACCAAACACTCAACTGCTCTACACATCTTAACTTAACAACTACACTTATACACCTAGTAGTGGAACCGCAAATGTATAGATATCAGTAGTTTCTTTTTATTTTTGCTTTTAGTCTAAAAACACCTTTCTTCTTTCTTTTAATATATTGTCTTCCAATTTTTTGTTTTTGTACGCCGAAATAAAAAACTTCGAGAATTCTAGAATTCTAGAAGAAATCCTATTGTGTCACCTATAATCTAAGGTAAAAATCTTTTTATGTAAAGTAAAATTTACCCCACTGAATTATTTATTTGGAAGAATTTTGTTACCTATGGATACTAATATTTTTTTAAACTAAAAACTAAGTTTATAATTAATATTATATGTTCCAGCTTCACTGAACATGTTCTGAATTATTGAACAAACCTATATCAATTATGTTTTTGTCTCTGTCCGATTTCAATGCTTTCTTAACGAAGATTATTTTGACCTTTATAAAAATAACAACTGCTGAATAACGTTTATTCTGTTCCGATCAGTTGTAGCACAAAAGCGCTATTATGGCCGCGGTTCTCCGCTCCATTTGTAGCCTATGTTCGTACTATAGTCTGTTTCTTATTATATTGCCAATCATGCGTTGAATATATTTTCAGATGCCATTATCTTAAATTACAAAAGATTGCAATTATATGTTAAGTTAGTCCAACACAGATATCAATAATATAATTTTCTTATATTATTTTCAAGTTGGACTTCTGAACAAGATAATACCAGGCTGGTCTTCTACCCTCTCTGCAATTTTAAACTTAACCAATGACACTTATGTAGGTTTGGGTCATCAACAATATTTCGTGACACTAAACTTTCTGTTTATTCAATTGAATAACAATTGTACTTCGAAATTATTGTGGGACAAGAGAACTAGGCTTCTTAGTTATAGTAACGCAAATACACCTTGAGTAGACCTATTAGAGACATAAATGTGTATTCGAAGACTTCAAATATTACTCCTAACTGAGTGTACTTTTTGATTTTCTTGTGGATTAATCGCGTTTCTTCACGATTGAACAATCGATTAATAAGTGATATATCATCAGTGATATATATATGTGACTAAACTATATAATAAATAAATAAAGTAAACACAATTAAAAAAAATATTAATAAATTTTATTTGCAATATTTTTATTTATAATTTGTTTTAGAAAAAATTATTTTATTTGCTGTGCTTTTCAAATTTCATTTCAATCAGTTTTTCGCTGTCTGCAGTTATAATTTCAAGCAATTTTATGCACTTTAGATAAAATATATATTAAGTATTTAGTATGTAATTTAGTTTATAGATACGTGTGTTTATGTAGTCTATGTTTGTGTATCTTGTACAGTGTGTGCTTATCTAACCGCCTTGATAATATTTTATATCTATAAAAAAAGTATCTGTTAAAATGCTGTAGAGTAAATTACAGCTAATTATATATTAATTATTAACTTGTATAATTACACAATTTATATATAAATTTAATTATACATTTTTATCTCATAAACGGTAAGTTCTGAATAAAACATAATACAATAATTCAAATTGTTCCTAACTGATTTTTATTAAATCTATCTATATATGATATATATAGTACAAACATGACATGACAAACCAGTCATTTTTATTTTTAGTAAGAAATTACGAATATTTAATGTATAATAACTGAGCTTAAACCGACCGATATTAGATGTATCAGATTTATTTAGAAACTAAAAGTGTTAAACAGGATACAAAGCTTTTTGAAATTACTGGATATACCCAGTACAATCATAAGAAATATGACAGTAGTATTCAGTGCTATTCGAGTTTTCATTTTTAAAAATATTTAACGATACGATTGCTCATCTTCTGTAATCTAAACTAAAAATGAAACCACATCCTTTCATAATCCATGAATATCCAACTTTTTCAATAAAAATTTAAAGTAGCGCTTCGTTTTCAAATGAAAGTCCCCGAAATCTTACAATAGCTCAACTAACCATAACAATTGCTTTCGACACATCTACTATATGCTGTAGTATAAAACCACAGAATGTCTGCCCATAGTTTTGGACTCTTTTTACGAATAGTTTCAGGCAAACGTAGCTTCAGAGCTGCAGAAGTGAAGTAAGAAAAGAGCATGTTGATATGCTGACATGATAGTTATTTCTTTTTGGCGTGAGTTCTTTAGTTCCGTCCTTCGGCTTCCACTTGAATGCGCACTGCCACTGTATCGTTTTAAAGAGTAAAAACTACTAATAGATTAATGGAATGAAAAATGAACATTTTTATTAAAAATTTAACAACAAATTAAAATACAGTCTCCTTCATGCTTTTTAACAATTTGGCTCTCCGAAAAAATTCATGAAACACTACACTACACTACAATAATCAAAGAAAACTGTTATGACTGTTTAAACTCTTTGCATAGCATTTACTTGATTGGTCGGTTGTTTCTGGATCGTATGCATAGGTCGAAGTCTCATCTGAAGTTATTAGACAGAAATTATGTATTTTTTGACACCAAATGAAATTCCACTCATATCAACTCATATCCATTATCAGTGATTCATTATGAGTGAAACTCTTAATTATCAATCGATGAACTTTAAGCAATAAATCTTTGATTTTCTTGGCATGCTCTTCATCAATGATGTTAATGATGAACCTTGTTCCTAAAAGTAATAATAATAGTACATATGATGTATTATTGACATGACCTGATCAAGCTCGATGAAACTTAAGTCCAGTATTCGGTGAATGAATTCAATAAGATAAATGCTTGTTATTTAATTTGTTATTTTAATTTAAAGATGATCTTACATTTTAATGAATGAACAATTAGTAATTTATACTTTTGTATAGTAATGTTGAAGCATTATCATCAATACAGAATTTGTTATAATAGTAGATACACATGTATACAATACTATATTATATAGTTACACATTCCTGCCTTGAATTAGAAGTGATTAGCTTATAAGCTAAGAACAACAATAAAGGATCTATAATTAAGCATGTCACTAATACAGCGTTTAACTGTTTTGTAATATATACGAGTATATTAAAAATATAAATATTTATATATATATGTATATATTTTTTCTCTTTATTTTTATATTTATCATTTCTAGGTTCACGTTCTGGTTCACACGGCAGTGCGAGCAATGCATCTGCTACGTCGATTCGCTCGACGCGTAGCAATTCTGTAGCACCTGGCAACATTGGAAATAGTCATCATGAACGCAAGGACTCTTCGCACCACAAACATCAGCATCATCAGCAGCAGCAGCAGCAGCAGCAACAGCAGTCTCTGATAACGAACATCACCCCAAATCCAGTGGCCGATAGCGTCACCGTAGAAATAATTGAACCGGAAAAATAAATTTGAAAAATATTTTGAAAATTAATTTTATTATAAATAATATTATATTAACTTGCTTTAGAATTTATCCAAAACAAATAAAAAGTGGAGGCTTAAGAAAAATTAATATAATTAAAAAGATTTTATTGCGCACCTCGAAGTGAATAGCAAATATAATGCTAAAATAAAAAGTGAAATTATTTATGGAGTACATTCACATAAATGTACAAATGCAAATTTATTTTTAAATTTAGTAAAAATTTTTCAATGAATTTTAGAAAGTCAACTTTTGCGTAATCACACAAAATCGCTAATTTCTTTAAAAATAAAACTGAAAAAACCTTGCATAACAAATTCATTTTTTCCTTAAACTGCTTTTGTTATATATAAAATATATAAAAATTTAAAAAGCAAACGCAATGGCAAATGCAAATATTTATATAATATTTAATATTATTTTAAAAGATACAAACACATCATAGCGTTAACACAATTAAATCGAATGAAGATAAAAGATACAATTTAACATATTTTTCCATGTGAGTTATCTATCACTGTGCACAGAAACAGATACATTTTTTAAATTAATTTATTTCAAAACTTAATATAGTAAATAGTAAATATTTAATATAATATATAATATATATATTTCAAATAAGGATAATACAAAAATATTTAGCTTAACTATAAAAACATGAAAAGAACTATCTGCATAAAATGGAAAAAATTAATAAAAATAAAATTTATTAGAAA